ACCTATTACTAGTAGCGTCAAATATGAAAAAAAGAATAAGGAAAATTGCGACATACAGGAATGAACTGCTTGCTTTCACCCTCAAAGATTGAAAATATGGAGTCTGATTCAGTTACTGGTTCAACAGATGTGTTGTATGTTGCACGTCTATTTTCATCATGTACAGCTTTCCTTCCAGGTTTAGACATTAAACCCTTTCCTGAATAAGCAGTTTAGTATATATATATTGATGGAATATAATTTGCTAAATGCAGAGTGTGAATAGATTTGAAATATTGCAATGAGATAGATACCTGGTACTGAATCTTGGTCTTTATCTAGACTGTTATCAGGAAAGGAAGAGTTTTCAGGAATAAGCACTTCACCACTACTATATGGATTTGGCCTGATAGGAGTCTGGGCAGATGAGCCATTTGGGAATTCTTGTAATCTGACATTGGCACCATTGGCACCAGATAAGGTTTCAGACTCAACAGGGTCATCATGCACAGGTGGTTTCTTTAATTGTTTTTTAGGTGGGGAGAAGGTAGTTGGTGTTATTTTATGGTCTGTGTTGAGTTCTATCTCGGATCGATCAACATTTGCTCTTAGTCTCTGGAATCTTAGTTTCGCCTGCTCTTGAATAGAGCTTGCCTTCCCAAATTATTAGAGTGGTGAGATCAACAAACTGAACAAGATCCAGGGAAACAAAAGGGAAACAAAAGGGAACATTCAAAGTGAATACCTGTTTATAGTAGATTGTATCTGGTGCATTGTATTGCATTGCATTGGTGCAAATCAGATACACATCACTCTGCATTCATGAAAACCAGTTGTTAAGCTTCTTAAGATAACTATTAAACAGGTATCCAAGCATTGGAGCATTTTAGCAACAACTACTTGGAGCCCCTCATTTCATCAGAAGCACAACCGATCAAACCAACCTCAAATTCTTTTAAACTTAAATAGGCTCCTTTTGCAAGCTTTTTCCTCACAGTGGCGAAGTCCATTGGGTGCTTGATCACATCATGATAATCAGGAAGCTGCAATATACAAAACAACAATGTCAGTTATATCCAAAGTACAACAAGATAATACTAAAACTAGAGTCTCTCAAAAGTACCTCATCAGGATCAACTGGCTCAGCGTAAACACCATAAGTATCTTTTCTGCCACAATTAAGCCATCCAAAATTACATACTCAACAAGCTTTAACCCAAAAAGAACATGATTTCAAATATTAAACTACTCATACTTACTTTTGAAGTTTGTCGAGAATCAACTCTAGAGTCTTTTTGTCAGGCAAAGGTACCCCTTTAGAAAGATCTGACGCCATCCCTACTCAATATTACAATGAAAAATTGGTAATGAACTAGCATGATGTTGAAGCAGAAATGAACAGAACCGAAAATGGTAACTAACCACAAACGAAGTCCGACCCTCCTGGTGCTTCGTCTTCTTCTTCTTCTTCTTGTTCTTCTTCTTCTTCATCGTCCTCTTCTTCCAATTTCCGCCCTCTTATCTGTCAAAATGAGAAAAACGGAACATCAAAACTAGGAGCTGAATAGACATACGAAACAATATTCAATATATAAAATTCTTGCAGAATGTAGGCGGCAGAGACCTATACAAGCAGAAGACAGAGTAGTGAGTGACACGAAATCAGAGAGAGATGGAGAGAGAAAGAGAGAGGATGCGTGTGAGTGTTGTAGAGAGAGAGGGGGGAGGAAAAAAGAGTGGCGGAGAGAGAAAGGTGGGCAGCGTGCTTATATTCTGTGTGTGATTTTGTGGGGGTTAGTTTTTGACAGTTGACTCGACCGTTGCAATCAATCCAATCTCTCCTACCCCAACACCCGACACACATATATACATATGCATATATGCGCACAAAAATGGCGTTTGAGCCTTGTAGAAAATTCACAATGAATTCCACTGAGCTGAAAACGTACACTATATCTCAATTGCTGAATATCACGACGCATCAGTCTGCAAATACGAATAAATTCAGTGCAATTAATCAGTTACCTCTTCAAATTCATTATCTTCATCATCTTCTCCGTCACTTGTATCAATTTTCCGTTTCTTCGAATGCTTAACATCGGCATCGTCATCATCATCGTAATCATCCGACGAAGAAGACGCGGGCGCGTGTCTCACGCGCCGCGTGTTCGGCCTGGAATCATCTTCAGATAGCAATAACCTGAGCTTCTTCTCTCTCCTACCTACTTCCTCATCTTCATCATCATAAAACTCATCGTCGTCTACATAGTCATCGATGTCAAAGTTGTACCTGACGTTGCGGCGTCTACGGCTCCTCCGTCGGTCCACCGGTGACGGGGGCGTGGCGGAATAGTTAATCCGAGCTCGATCTGTGTTAGATGGCCTTCCTCTCCTCTTCCTCCTCACGATCTGACCCATCTTTTTCTGCTCCGAGCTTCCTGTCTCACTTTCTCTCTCTCTTCTCTCTGTAGGCTGTTTCTCTCTCTTCTTTTACGAGTTCCGTTTACAGAGTATTATTTCCCTAGGTATACCGAACCTAACCTGAGCCTCAGGTTCGGATTTTGGTACCAGAACTTTTTTTGTCCTTTTTTGAAACAAAAGTTTGAATGTCATCAAAGGGTAAGAAAAAGAATTTTGAATTTATATTTTACCAAAACAGTTATGGAAGGCAACCATGTACCGGTGAATGAGATATAAATGATGAAATACCAACAATTAGAAAAATATATTTAGGTTATGACATTTTCATTATAGGATTATCCATTGGTACGTGTGTATAACAAGTTAAAAAATTATTATCATATCTAAAAAATTTCACATTATATAACATGTCATATGTACATGATGTCAAGTGAAAAAAGTGGCTACATGTTATAACACCCATCAATTTTCATGTTATTGTTTGTTTTTTTTTGTTTTTTGGATTTATGTTTTATATATATATATATATATATATATATAGAGAGAGAGAGAGAGAGAGAAAGAAATAAAGAAAGAAAGAAAGAGAGGGGGGAGGGGTGGGAGAGAGAGAAAAATGATCATTTGAGCACTTAAAGTTTTTCGAGAACTAAAGATAGAGCGTTGGATAATAAAAAAAAATGATCGAGATGCAAGGTAAAATTCTTGTAAATAATCGGAAAACTAAAGAGACGGGGGTATGTTAATTAAATGAGATAAGGTATTACTGAAAACAAATATATTATTAATTTATTACATTATATGTTAATTCTGATTTACTAAAACATAATACAAAATATCCCAATGTCGCATGCGATCTTCATCTTCTTCGATTCTGATGCCGACGATATCTCATCCCCCATAGCCGACGTCGGCGAGTTGCATCTTCAGATCGACGAATCATTGGAGATTGATGATCTACCAAAATCACCGTTGATTTCCTCGAAAATCACCACAAGGTTTGTCGCACCCCCGAACCGGAACGACAGAAACGTCCTGGAGCGAAAGACGTCACGTACAGTATCACAACAATTGAATGATAGAGATCAAAACATTATAACCATCATACTGATAAATATAAGTTTTTACATTGCATTCGAATCGATGTTTGTTTGATATCCAAATACATGTAACGAAAATATGTGATGCGACGATGCCACGTCCCATCTTCACTGAACTATTGTGGGTATCTGTTTACCGATTTCCTGGGAATACAAGTAGTTTTGAAAAGTATCAACAATTAAGTTTGTGAGTTCATAAACATTTTTATATGAGAAAAATATGTCATTATTCCTTGAAAATGGTAGTGTGTTCACCTAGAAAATATAATATTTTCTGTTAAATGTAATGTAGTCTTAAAAACCGTAAGACTGAAAATGTACAAGTGTTGTTGTACTCTGAAGTAGTGTAATGCATTTTTAATCTTTATAAAACCATTTGTATGCATGTTTCCAGGAATGTAAGTTGTATTGTATTGGAAAATAGTGTATTGTAGTTGTATCTGTATAAAACCCTTTGAATATATGTATCTGGAACTACCAATTGTATTGTAAAATAGATTAATGTAGTTTTATTATTAAATAAAACCATCTGAAGATATGTTTGCCCCGTAAACCAAATGTCTTGTTAATACTTATTGTGAGTGTTTATAATAACCATGCTAACGATTAATGGCCTGTACGACGCTCTTCAGGCATCGGAATGGTACGACATTTGTCACCCCAGGTCTGTCGGTCTAATTGTAGCTAACAATTTAGGTGCGAGATTGTTAGTCCCTTATAGATCTATACACAAATATCACGCTCTCCCTGCAAGATACTCTGGTTATAATTCAGGACTTTAGTATGTACTATGGTAGGTACGATGAAGTTAGTGGCTCACAATCATGTATTAACCGGTTTACGTGTAGTGTAATGAAATTCATTTTTTTCTTGTAGTTGTATGTATTACCCTTCCGTAGTAGTTATATAGTGTAAGTATAATTATTCTTTTAAATAATTATTTTTGTGTCCCAAAGGGTAAAATAGCGTGAATGTTCCATAAACTATACCTATTAAAGTTTATATAAATGTTTCGTTGAAATAATGAATCCTTTGTATTCTATTATTAATTTACCATGATAATACAATAAATTGAAATAATTATATATGCATGTTTATATAATTATACCATTTTTGCTCAACATATTACAAAAGGGCTAAAGTCTTATAAACTATTTTAAATATAGTTTATTTATTGAAATCAAATTGTATGTTTCGTGTGTGTGTGTGTGTATATATATATATATGTGTGTGTGTGTGTGTCTATATATATATATATATATATATATATATATATATATTGTAAGAAAACCATAGTGTGCTTGTACGAAAACTTTATAGCTTTGTAATTCTAGCAAAACTTTGCATCTATATGCTCACGAATTTGGAAATAAATCTATTTCGTGTATTTTAGCATTTTTGCACAAAGAGTAGTAAAAATATGTGTAATCATATTTTATTTTTAACATAAGTGTTCTTGTGTTTTACTTGTATCTCCCCCACCCCCCCTAAAACATAGAAAAATCGTGGAAAATGTAGGGGTATGAACTCACCTCGAGTGTGTTTTTGGTTGGATAACGATGTGATGGTGGTGGTCTTCAAGTTATAGTACGTGAACGTATTTATATCCTACGAATATTTAACACATAATATTGTGTGTAAATTAGTTAAATTAATATGTAAAGTGTTTTAAAAACTCTAGATTAAATAAGTGGACTTACAAGTTTCCTAAGAATTAACATGAAGTGTTTTGTTTCTTGGGGATGTTTGAATGTTTTTCTGGGTAATCTTGTAGAAGATTTGAAGATGTTCTTGAGGAAAGTTTAAAGATTGGGAGATGTACATATGAATTTTGAGAGAAAATGTGAAGGATTTTGAAGATTGAAATGGAAATTATGAAAGTGTTTTTTGTAACGACCCGATTTTTCAAAGGAATATTTTCATTTTTGATTATCCATACACATTTCCATAAATTACAAAATCTCATATATAGTTGTTTTCAAACTCATATCAATTACAAGTTTTATTTAAAATATAAGAGTGTCCATAAAACGCCCGTGTGAGAGTGCACGCCGCACCATCACGCCTTGCCCTTGCCCTTGGGAACCGATGTACCTGAAACAAATCCACAACCTGTAAGCTAATGCTTAGTGAGTTCCCTAAAGCATACCCCGTGCACAATCCACGTAACACGTATCATATTAGCTATAAAAGCTACATATACCACATAAGTCATGCATACATAAACCTGTAAGGATACCGTGGGCTCCCCCTATGGTCTTACACCTTCATGTCATGGGTTACCCCACATGGTCTTTACCTAGGAATTCCATGAGCTTCCCCACATTGTCTTACATCCAACTGTCACAGGTTCCCTCGGGGTCTTTCATGCAATAACATACATAATCAACTTAGTATATCATATAACAAAAGTGTCTAACAAACTACATACACATACATAAACCTGTAAGGATGTTTTGGGCTCCCCCCAGGGTCTTATACCATTGTGCCATAGGTTACCCATATGGTCTTTACCTGGGAATGCCATGGACTACCCCACATGGTCTTATATCCAACTGCTACGGGCTCCCCCTGGGGTCTTCCATGTAATAACATACAATTACTAGCATACTACTTAGCACAAAGCTAACTATCGTACCACATATGTCTACAACGCTAGTGTACCACCTAACATAAAATGGGCTGGCCTTCGTGACTTGGACCCGTAGGTATGGTGAGAAGACTCACCTCTCTCGAATGCTGAAACTAACAATGCTAGAACCAGATATGTCCCACGTGTTGCTCCGAATCAACTACATGTAAGCATCATAAGATATACTTGTCAAAATCCCAAAATTACCCTCAAGGTCAACCCTTGTCAAAGTCAAAGTCAACAGTCCATGCTGACCTCAACTCGTCGAGTGCATCTAGTGACTCGTCAAGTTCCTACCGAGTCCAGACAACCTGATCAAGCCCTAACCAACTCGTTGAGTTGTTTCATCAACTCGACGAGTCACTTGATATTCAGAAGGCGGGGAAACCCGATCTGACGCGTCGAGTTCCTAAAGTAACTCGTCAGGTCCCCCTTCTTGTTTGCTTGTTGTGATGATTCACCGAATCCAGAGACTCCAGGGCTTAGATCTAAAGCCCTAAGGTGTCTAGAAGGATAAAATTTCCAACTTTATCTTCTAGAACCGTTCCAAATGCTCTAAGTCCCTTAACAAAGGTCGGAAAGCTCCAAAGCTTTGCCATATGGTCCAAAACTATAGGGATCTAAAATCCCTCCTTTCCATAAAGATTTCTAGTACTCAAAACGTTCCAAAGATGGAGGCTTTATAGATATGCATGTCCAATGCATGTCCCTATGTCAAAATGGCCAAAAAGAGGGAAATATGCCCTAAAATCCTTGCATGGTGTCCTTGCTCAACCACAGGCCAGATCTAGCCCACCTTGGGACCATTTTGCTCTGAAGATTCATAAAGTTGCAAAATTTATGAATCCCATGCATACATTCAACAAGAAGGGTAGGAAATGAAGAGGAAACTCAAGATCTAGCCATATTCTATGATAAAAATCGAGTCTTGAAGACTTACATCAGTCCACAAGATGATTAAGCTCAAGGATAGGTGCTTGATTTGTTGGATCTTCTCACTATCTCCTTCTTATTAAGCTTCAAAGGTCACTCTAGCTCACAAAATGGTATAGAATGGGGATTAGGGTTAGTACAGACATTCTTAGGGTTTGGAGGCTGATGGGAGGTCAGCTTCAAGGCTCTTAAGGAGATTATATAGGGTGAAAATCCTAAAATTAGGGTTTTATCATTACAACGCCTACTCATCGAGTCGGCCTTCCAACTCGTCGAGTAGGGTGTAGATCCCGCGTCCTTGAAATGCCCTTTACTCGACGAGTTGGACTCCCAACTCACCAAGTCCACACACCAAAACCCTAAATCTTAAATAAATTAAGTAATACCTAGAGCATGTGTTACATTTTCGGTCCTATATATATATATATATATATATATATATACACACACACACACACACACATACATACATACATAGTGTAAAAGTGATGTGATATATGTATTGGAAAGTGTATTTTCTCACATTGAAT